ATTAGGGGCCAATCCGAAATTTGAAGGTACTCCTAAGGATTTAAATCCTTGCCCTCCAAAACTTGCAGCTCCTACTAATCCGCCAAATCCCTGAGGACTTGGACCATAACTAGAAAGTGATGGTTGGGGTAGGGAAGGTGCTGAAGCACCAATACCTCCTGTTTCAAAGCCAAAGGCATTTGGTAGAATGTTCGATGGAGGTGCTACTGGTTGAGGTGGATACATGCCAGCACTAGCTAGACCATGTGTGTTGGTTACATTATAGTTAAAATGAGCACCAGCTGCTATTTGCTGTGGTTCTTGATATCGTTGTAGACCAGTTTGTCCGTAAATTAGTGGTCCTTGTTGTTGAATTCCACTGTTATTATTTAATTGATAGTAATTATTACTAGTATTATATCCTTGTCCTGATTGTCCATAACCAGCTCCATAAACACCATAACCAGCTGCAGGTACATTTGCACCGCTTAAACTTCCGTATGAATTAAGTGTTTCTTGCTGTTGATATTCATGAATTTTACTACGAGGTGGTACGCGTATTACTTTGCGAATAGTTTGAGGTGGTGAAGATGGCTCAATAATAGTGCGTTCTTGAAGACGAGGTGGTGGTGTTGTTGGTTGTTCAATAATTTCTTCTATAACATCATTTAATTGACGACGAACGTAAACACGTTCGAGAGTGTCTGGTTCCGGTGTAGCTAATCGATGTCGTACTTGTCGTACAACACTTGGTTGATCTGGTAAACGAATGGTTTGATGACGATAAGATCCCTGACGACGACGGCGATATATATCACTGGATTCATCAACAACAGCTTCATTGCCATAGTAAAATTCATCGTAACCACCAGAATTACCATAACGATCATGAGCACCACCATTACGTGCACTATAGTGATGTTGTTCGCCATAAATATAGTTGCCGGTACGTGCTGCTGTTCTGCCACGTGTATGAAAATTAGAATCGGCTGAATGATGTTTGTTACTATATGAGCTTCGTGAACTGATACTGGCTGGCGTTCTTGAATATTTTTTATATCTCTTATGACCATGATCACCATGAATATGTTGCTTAATATCACCTACAGCTCTGCTGGTGCTCTCTGGTTGTTTGGCAGATGATTCGTAAGTTTCCGTTTGTGTTGTATTTTGATTAAAAAGACCCATTCCTGTGTGGGTTTACTCATACTATTTCTGATTTATGAATACGAGAATATTTAAGGACATAAGAAGGGAGTACTAAAATGTACGAGACGATCGATTAGTTTTAGGTATTGGAATGATAAAATTTTGAACAATAACTCGATTCAATTCTCTCGATGACAAGCACTACTTAAGTTGTACAATCACCTCTTTACAATCTAAGCTTCTCGTCATTCTTTTCTTTTTGTGTCTCTCGTCTTTTCTATTCCTTTCTATATGTATGAATAGACAGTCATGAACATATAATTCATGTATTAGTACTAGTAGTGACGGTGGTGATGATGGCGACAGTGGTAATATGATAAAAGACTGAGTAACAAGGAAAAAAATTGCTCACAATGCTTACCTAGATTTAAATGAATTAGAAGTTGCGTATATTAACGATCACAAACAGCTGAATATGAAACAAACTGATGCAGAACCGTTGTATTTATACTATAGTTAGCTTTTGACCATGAGCATCGTTTTTTTCGTATTTGACCCTGATCAGTCTCAAAGTAATACATGCGAAAAAAAACTGGATCCAAAAATTGAAGGGCATTCATGAATATCTGTGCTTATTCAACCAGATCAAGGTTTAAGAAGACAATTGAAGACATGCCAATAACTTTCACTTGTTCTTTACTTTGTCATTAATACATGATAGGGAATCCAATAAATAAAAACCTTCTTTTTTAATTGGAGCGATACATATACAGATACAAACAAATGTATATTGCCTGATCGATATGATCACTTTTGATCATGTGCAAAGCACAGACGTTAGTTAAACAAGCATACACATGTATACGTGACTTTGAACGAGAACAAAAAGAAACGTCCATGAACATATCTGAAGATGATTGATGCGACAATGCTAATGAATAGATTTCATATGAATACCGATATCTTACTATTGTATAATACATATACATTGATACGTAAATAAACAAAAGCAATGACAGACTCTTAAAGAAAAAGAAGGTTATCACATCATATCAAGAAAGATAAGGAAAAAAAAGCTGATTTAAAGCTTTTTGTTATGTACCAATAACTTGAGTCAAAGCATGGACCAAGTAAGTTTCATCATTATACATTATGACTTAAGTAATTAAGAGACTCTCCATGAGTATATCGAGGATCATCTCAGTATACGATACCCATTAAAATGTGAACTTTTTACTTTTAATATGCACCGAAAGCCCATCATTAAAAACCACTAAACATAAATGTTTAACTAATTTCGATATTTTATGGTTAAGTTACCCTTGATCGATTTTTCAACACTATCTATCTACTATCAACAAAATAGTGATAAATTCTCGCAGCAATACCTACTAAGATTATATTTTCAGAAATCAGATAGTTTTTTCATGCAATATACCAAAACATAGATCATTAAGAACTAAAAAAAATGATATATTTAAAATATTCTATGTCATTTATTTACTGATCCAAAATGAGTAGTGAAGGTCACAATTTAACAAGCTATCATATATATGTTTTTTGACACTTGATCTACTACCATTTATCGAAATTAAACGAAACCAAACTAAATTTTTAGCAAGTTATTTAAATTTTGACTCTTTACAAAATAATGAAACTGTATCGCAAAAAGATAAGTTCACCTTCAAAGCAATATGAGGGCTATTCTATTAAATAGACAGGTAAACAGACTCAAGGAAAACGATCACGAGCATTTGTTTGTGTCATTCATTCATGATAATTTTGTTATTGACAAAAGTAGAAGTTCATCCTGGCTAGAATTACATAGATTGTTCTTTCGAAAAACTAACCAAAAAAGTAATAAATTTTGGTTCCCTGCATCTTCTAAGAGGAAAAGCCCAAAAATTTTCCAAAAATATTTTTTTCCAAAATCGAATTATAATCATCTATATCGATAAAGTATGGGACGTTGATTACAGCGATATCATTGAAGTTAAGTATCGATAGTAATCTAGTAGTATTTCGAGTATTCTTTTAATAGAAAATAGGAGGATCCATGATAACTATTCGTCATTAAGACGTCAAGCTTAATACACTAAATTACAATTAATAATAACCTTGAATCACATGATTGTGTCTAGTTCCTATACTTCACCGATGAGAATGATTATTATGCAATTTCGAAAAAGAAAGTTTTTTTTGTTTTTGGAAAGCTCTCTGATCTTCTTCAGGCGATGTAGAAAGTCAAAATTTATTTTGTTGTTTTTCGAAAGAATTATCTATATAAGTCTAACCAAAATGAAGTTCGAATTTTGTCAATAAGACAAACTGTCATGAATGACAGATACAAAAAAAAACTACTCGTGATCGTTTTCCTTGGGACTGTCTTTACCTGTCTAATGATAGTAGAGTAATCCTTATATTACATTGAAGGTAAACTTTTTTATATTCAATAATTCTTTATTATTTTATAGACGACCAAATTTTGAAGAACATGTCAATATTTCAGTTTGGCTTTGTTTGATTTCGAAAAATGGCACTATATATACATGCAACGAATAAACATATAATAGACTGTTAAATTATGACTTTCACTATATATATGGGATCAATAAATAAATGACATACAATATTTTAAATTGTTTATTATCTTTTTCAGTGATTGATATTAAATCTTTTGAAATATTACATAAAAAAATATTCTCTAACTCGTGAAAGTATAATCCTTGTAGGTATATCTATATATGTATATGCAATAATTAAAGACTATTTCAATGATAGTAGGTAGACAGTGCTGTGAAAATTGATCAAGGTTAACGTGACTATAAAACATCGAAATTAGCTAATCATACAGGGTTTCGTGGGTCTAATGATGGCCTTTCAAATGCCTATAAAAAAAAGAAATATCACAAATTAAAATTTAAACTAGTCTCTCTCGATTCCTTCTCTCCATAATGAGTATTCTCTCTTAATTAATGACCAAAACTATAACAATATATTGATTTCATTTCATTATCTTATTGTTTCCTTTCTTTTGTTTGATGAATAGTTCTTTGTCGGAAATATATTCATAATATCAATCATATATTCTCATACAACTCAATAATGTATATCATAAAAATAAATTTGTCATTATTTATAGAATATTTAACATACATCGAGAGTAAATTCATTACATTAGATACTATTCACGCTTTAATTAGTGTCCATGACTGACATATGATAAAAAAAAAAGTACTGTTTCATATGCATCTATCTAATACATAACAGGGATACTCGATTTTTTTTTCTCAATTCAAAGATAAGAAGAAAAAAAAAGAAGAACCTATGCTTATACATTGTAGAAGGACACTTCAGAGTATAAAAAAAAACACGTAAACACATTCATAACAACCATATATAGTTATCATAAGATAGTCATGCTTGCGTGATTGCGGTAAACAAAAAATATTCACTGGTATACCTTATTGAGAAAGAATATCTTCATCACATACTATATCTATCCACCAAATATTTCTTTCATCAAACTAATAGTCTCAAATGGCATGTACATGCTGCAGTACTGTATGTTGTGATCCTTGTGCTAGCTATACTACATATATACCTTGTTGCAATGCACCAATAACTCTTGATTGTAGTTATCAACAACGACGTTATCAAGAAATTTATTATGCACCTGAACCTGCACCACAAATTCAAGTCGTACGACAACGATTACCTGATCCACCACCTGATGTGATCGATCGAGTTGTTGTTGTTCCTCAACCAAAAAAATATGTTTATCAAGTTGTCGAAATACCAACAAAACCCCCACCAGTTATTCAACAACGTGTAGTTCATGAATCTCCTAATGTACCAGTATGTGGTGGTACTTATCATGTTCAAGTACCACATAATTCAATCGTACAAACACCAAAATTAGTACAAACTGCATCATACACTTAACAAGTATCAATGTGTTAGACATAATCTATTTCTATTATTTCTATCTAGAAACTCTTTATCGTTTTTTTTTTAAATTACTAACTTGTTTTTGACAATGGATGGTTCGTTGACGTTCATAGCTTTGTTTATTAGCTGGCGAAGACGGATAACTCATATTAACAGTGACATTGACTGATTGATGAAAATCATCTTCAATAAATAATATTAAGTTTTCTTTTTCTCTTTCGAATAATATATAAATAAAGTTTTCTTTTTACCATTGATATCAGTTGTTGTTTTCATAGTTAACCAAAGACGTTGATAAAATTTATCAAGATCACCCGATTTAATTTCATAAGGACCAGACTAAACGAAAAACACAGTTTCGAATGAAAATTTTTTTTTTTAAATAATATTATTTTACTATTTGTTTTTGTTGATTGTTGAATTCATAATCAGTCGAATGAATTGTAGAAGGACCGGCAATACCAATTAAAATAGTAATAAATAAACAAATAAAGAAGAGAACAAAAACAGCTACAAATTGACGTTTATGTAATGCATATAAACGCATTTGTACTGATCTAAATTAAAAAGAAAAATAAATAATTTTAAGATTTTTTTTTTTTTTAAGTTTATGCATTTAGGGAACGAACATATCCAACTGTCACACGTCATTTAACTACGGATTATGGCTAAGAGCAGGACTTATTGAGGCTGAGCAAACTTTAAAATAAGTCGCGCCGTTGACTTACTATCGAAGAGCTATGATAGTTTTAATGAAATTTTTATTGACAACAAGATGTTTTCGAAAAGTCCAAAACAAACATTTTCGAGCTGAAATTATGTTCAGAGTTTACCATTGAATCTACCTGGAAATAGAATATCTCGATAAAGACATGTTCCTTTTTATTAAAACTTTTAGGACTATTAAACTTATGTATGAATATAATTTCAGCTTGAAACTTTTTATTTTGAATTTTTTGAAAATACCTTGTCGAGAGTAAAAAATTAAGTAAAATGATTATAACTCTTCAAAAGTATGCCACGGGGTACGAATCATTCTACGCTTTATTTTAGTTTCATCGAGAACTATTCGTAGCCACAATGTGAAGTCAGATGATAGCCGATAGTTGGATATGTTCTCTCGTATGTCTCTTATTTCTTATTATAAATCTATTTTATTAGACATCGATCCGATTTACCAAAAGATAAATTTTAGATTTTACAAATGTCTACTTTCTACATCATGATTTGAACAATTTTTTATATATTCAAAAGCATAGATTCAGCGTAGTATTGATTTGTTGTTTACGATATCAGACATTTAACTTACATCCAAATAGTTTCATTATTTCACGAAGTTTTCTATTAAATGTATGCTTTACTGAAATTTCATAAATGAAATATGAGAGTAAGGTTTCAAACCTTGCATAACATGAGCAGTCCTTGCATTTCTTATGATTTTCTCTTAACACTTTTAAAAATATTTAAGTTCTGAAATAGGCACATTTTTTTTCATATTTCTTAACTTTTAAATAAATCTCGAACACGAAATGATATCGAGGTGTAATTTTCGCTATGACATAGATGACACTTAGATATACACGTCTATGTAAAATATCGTAATACGAGCAAGGTCAATCAGATAGTAAATTTGATAAGTCTAGAAATGACTACCATCAATGCATCGTTTTTAGGTATTCTATTTAAAGCTAAAACATTGTACATTAATTTTCAAGATTTGAAAAAAAAATAGTTTCGATAGAAATATATCAATAATGCATGATAAATATCTTAATTATAAAGTTATAATGAAATTTTTTCATGAGTAGAGTCATGATATTTAAAGGGCTGCAAATATTATAAACATCACAATAAACATAAAAATGAGTTTCTTTTTGGTCAATTACTTTGATAATTTTCGTATTGTGATGTTATGTAAATTTTTTGACGACATACAGTGATCACAACAAGGTTTTACGATGTTTAACATGATACTCTGTTAAAATAATTTTCACAAATTAATAGAAAAAATATTTATGTTGTAAGACAAAGAAAATCTTTTAATTTTTGTATTTATAATGTTCGAACAAAACATGAGATAACATTCGTTCTAAATTTAGATTTCTCTTAATCTACAAATAGAATTTTTTCAATTCGATCAATATTTCATCAAGGTTAAACAAGATAAGTTGAACATTCTTTTTCTCAGAAGTAATGAACGAAAAGAAAATATTATCTTTGATTCAATTTGATTCTTTTCTAAGAATTAACTATTAAAAATTTACATAAAATCTCATATTTACCTTTCAATTTCTTTCGTTTCTCCCATTTTTCTTGAATTTAAAAAACAAATGAATAAACACTCAGATCTAAAACTTGAAATAATAATAAAAAAAGCAGAATCAATCTGTAATCACAAATGCTTTTATTAATTATTTTAATACATAAAATCACAGATAAAAAAAAACAACAACAACAAATTCTCAAAGTTTACTACGTTCAATTAAATCTTGTTTTATCCATGATGGTGTTAAAAATGTATGTTTATTACTATGTATTTGTTTATTAATCGCTTCGTAAACCTAAAACAATATGAAAAATGCTTAAAATATATTTAAAAACAAAGAATAAAAAGAAATTTTTTTACCTTTCCATCACTAACACCTAAAACTGAATTAAGTATATGATCAGGTGGTGCAAAAACATCTACTAAAGCAGCAGCTTCATTTCGTAAATCATGACATAAATCAATTAAACGATTTTGTATCCATATACTAATTAAACCATTATTAAAATAATTTCCTTCAAATAATAAATTTAAATTTTCTTCAAGAAATTTTAATATATGAACAATTAATAATTTATTAAGAACATTTTTACATTTATTATCCATTTCTTCATGATTTTCAATATATTGTAAAAATCGAACAATAGCTGTACGCTAGGAAACAAAAAAAAATTCGAAAAATTGTTTTTCTTTTTTCTTGATTTAGAAATTTTTTACTTGAATATAAATAATTGATAATGTTCGAAGATAATAAACTTGTGCTGCATTTTTTAAATCAAATGATGTTAAATATTTTTGTATAGTTAATTGATCAATTTTTCTAGCCGATTTCTCAAGAATATAACATAATAGCCAATCAACAGCATTGAGTAAGTCTATTTAAATAAGGAAAACATTTATTAAATTTTGAAAAATTATTTATTATTCGGCCGAAAATAATTTCGTCTTCGATTAATATTATCAATAGTTAACGGAAGGATGAAATTGATAAAAAAAAGAAAATAGTTTGTCCTAGGACAAAAACCTTCGATTCTAATCTGATTGATTATATAAAAAAAATGAAATTTATCATTAATATAGAAAAATTTTATCGCTTTTTTAATGGTTAAAATCTCTTTCATCAATTTTAATTTTATTGCAAAATAGTCCTATTATAACTGAAATAATTTTCATTTCGTACAACTGAATTCAAATGTTTAAAAGTAACGATTAAATAGTTGTTATTTTTAATATTCATAGGATTTGACAAACATTGAAATTTTCTTGGTTATGGCAGGGGCGTAGCCAGGGGTGTGCACAGTGCCCGGGCACCTCCCTTGGCTCAAAAATATCTGGAGGGGGAGGTACGGACGAAAATATCTTTTTGAGAAACAAAAATTTATTTTGCTGTTGGTGGGCACCCCCTATAATGTGTCGGGCACCCTTCTTGGAAAATTCCTGACTACGCCACTGGATTATGATCAAATATACTATGCATCGAGTTCAGAAAGTTATTCTTTTAATAGAGCTAGTTCATTACAACATATCTATGCAGCTTAAGCTACATGGTATAAAATAGAACAAATACAGATTTAACGAGCAAGTTTAAATCAGTTGCTTAGTAATAATATATCATATAAATGGAATTAGTAACTAAAATCAGTTCAGTTCTTTTAATTGAAAACTGTCATATATCTAAAGAAATTAACATAATTAATTATTGACCAATATTTTTTTTTCAAGAAGATTTGTCTTATAAAATAATTGAAATAAAATAGTTCATTAGAAATAAAAATTTATGGGATATCGATTATCTATACAATCAAAAACAAATATTTCTCTTTAAAATAACCTATACGTTATGTGTTGATTTGCATTATATGAAAATATTAAATCCTAAACTTTCGATTCATGTTATGTATAAATTGTAAATTATACATATGATGATTATTTACCTACAATAAAAAAAAATAAACTTATTCATTCTGTAATTTATTTCTTCCTATACTTTCAATTCCTTCTTTGATAAAGCACATACAGTAAAACTTCTCTATGTGGGCACCTCGTCTATATGGGCACCCGGCGGAACGACCGGTCGATTATTGCTGGAAATGAACTTCTATAACAAGGGCACCACCCACTTCTGAGCAATGGGCACTAATTTTAGGCCGTACTGTATGGACGAACCCCTTTTATATGGGCACATATAGTCATCATATGAGTCACTTCAGTGTACTTTTTTTCTTGTTGTTCTTTGTTGTCCTGTGAATGACATGGAGAATAGTCTCGTCTGACGACACAAACAAAATAACTCGTCTATACATTTGATTGTGCATTCAGTGATAAAAAAGTAAAAATAGTCATGTTATTTGACATTGCTGAATAAAATCATTGAGAAATGACGTCGCATCATTATCTTACGCTTGACAAGAAGATCGAATTGATCAACGATAATTTTACATTGATTCAAAAACCAACAAGCAAAGCTCAATTACGGATTTTTTTCGAAAAACTTGATTGTAAATAGGAAAATAGAAAATAAACTTAGCTGAAGAAAAGACATTAAATAATGAGAGTGAAACCCTGGTACAATCAATGGTCTAAGGATAGATTGGTAATATATATGTATGATTAGTGTTTGTGACGAATATCTGTAAAAACCTCTATAACAAGGGCACCGCCATTAAGTGGGCGATTTAAAAAAGTCCCGACGGTGCCCATCTAAGGGAAGTTTTACTGTAAGTGGATTTTTTTTCTTACCTTTTATATGACACTCAGGCGTTAGAGAACAACAATTGTCATGAAGAGTGTTTTTCATGTTTTCAATAAAAAGTATACTTTTAAATGGACTATTAATTGGTGTATCTTAAAAAAACGAAAACAATAACAATAATGAATAGAATATATATTTTTAAAAATTTACTATTTTTATATATATCTTCATAATTTGATAAAATATAATTTGATGTTTGTTGTAATATAACATTATTATCACCTTCAAATGTACATGATGGATCATTATCATTTCGAATATTACCAAAACCAGTTGCTATCGAAAGAAAAATCAATTTAATTAAAAAACCAATTTCATTATATTTTTTTTATTCATTACCATATAAATAACCATGACCACCACATGCTTCTCGACACTCTTGACATGCTTTTTGTGTATTCCAAGTACATATGGCTTTACATGAACATGATAAAGCATGAAGTTCTCTACCCATATATGCAAGAAGATCTTGATCATCTTCATCATTTGACATTGATAAGGCATAAAAGTCAACTAAATTATCAAAAACTGATAATGCTAAATGTCGATAAACATAAAGTGATGCAACTATTGGTATTAAACGCCAATTCTGAAAAGAAAAAAGAAAGAAATTTAAAAAAAAATTTTCTCTTTATTTGTTTATTTTAAAATTAATACTTGAGTTTGATATTCAATAACAGGTATTTCTACACCAGGTAATGGTCCAAATTGTTTTCGTACACATGAATAACGAATAACAATTGTACAACAATTAATTAATAAACCAATGGTTAAACTACTGATACCAACACGACCTGATGAAAGTGCACCAAGACTTGCACCGAATCGTTTATTGGATGTCTATTAACAATAGAAATAATTCAAAAATCAATGCAGTTAAATCAACAATTATTTTTCCAAAAAAAAACAGAACTATTTGTTAATCAATTTCTTCAATGATAGTTAAAGATGAAAATTTATATGAAAAAAATTCTTCATAGATTGATGATCAATAATTGAAATATTAAAATTCAATTATCAATATTAATTAAGTCAAAAATATTAACCATCTTTCTTTCTGAGAAATATAAAATCTAAAAAGACTTTTTCTTTGCTTAGTACACGCTAGAAAAATGATCACGCACAACTTTGCTCATAAGGAATGTGCGACGTTTAAAGCTTTGATTATTTATTAATCAAAATTTTAATGTAGAAAGTAGAATATTCGTTTAAAAGAAAAACATACTAATTACCTTAAATTGAGTTTTATAAGTTCCATCAGGTAAAACATCACCATGTTTATTAAGTAAATTTTCTCTTGGAATTCGATAATTACGAAAAATTAAAAACCTAAAATTTTCATGTTTGTTTTTTTTTGTTTCATTAAATTTTACAATGAATAAAATTATTTTCATACCCATTATCAAGACCATTCCATCCACATTTAGCACCGATATCACCAGCTTCAATACCATCGTATGTTTTATATGTTAATGGATCACTTTAAAAAAAAAAGGAAAGTCAATTTTTCAAAATTTACGATCAACAAATATTAAATATCTACCGAATTGGTACAACAAATGGATGAAGACCATAACAAGTGTTTTTTGTATAAAGCTGTGCATAAACAACAGCATGTGTTGCTTGATAACCTAAATTACTAGAAAAATTATTTTTATTTTCTAATATAAAACAATATAATATCATATAACATACCCAACCCAAAATTTCATTGCTTCAATATCAGGTGTATTTAAAACAAATTCCTATAATAAATATTTTCATAAAAATTTTTTCTTTTAAAATCAAAACTATTAATTATTACTTGAGTTGTTAGATCATATATTGCTGTTGTTCGCATTTCTTTTGTATTACTACCATGTGCTAATTCTGTTAAAGCAAAACAACCACAAATCTAATTTAAACGAAAAAACAAAAAAAAACAAAAATTTTATTTCATCAAAGCTAAAAAAAAACAAGGAAATGATAAATTTCTATTACTTGATGATTTTGATCTAAATTTAAAATATATTCATGTCGTTTTGTACCTAATGTTCGAACTGTTTCACGAAATAGTGTCATTGAAAGTGTATATTTAGCATGACATGATGCATCATACATAGCTAAACATTGTTCAAGAATAATTTTATATCGTGGATTATCAAACATTTCATCATCAGTTAATAAATTTGCTTTGATTAATTCTTTTGAACGTTGATATGTTAAATATTTATATTCATCAATTGTTATTGGAAATTGTGGTTGACGAAATATTGGTTGAGAATCTAATACTGACCAAATTTTTGTCTAAGATGATATAATAAAATAAAAATTAGATAGCAAGAAGAAAAACAAAAAAAAAAAGAAAAAAATTTCAAATACTCGATAATTTTGTGATGGTTCATCTTCAAATATATTTCGCATACGTTTAGTACAAAACGATGCTCGACTACGATATTCATCAAGCATGATAATACTTGTTTGAATATACGAATTCTAAGAATAGAAATATATATTTTTATAAATAAATATAATTAATTGTCGAATCATCAAGGAATCTTATTGGAATTTTTCTTTTAACTAATCAAACAAATAGTTTTTAGAAAATATAATTAAACAATTATTTTTATATAAAAAGAAATTTTCTTAAAAATTATTATTGTAGGAGTAAGTTTATTAAAGATGTCACTAATTGTGATCTCATTTACTGAACTTGACAAATGTGAAAGAACGTATTGATGTCAGTACGCTAGTTGATGACCTGAGTATTTAACGTTTTAGATAAGAAAGTTTGAGTTTTATGATAGTGTAACCTCAGTCGTATGTTTGTATGAGTTTATGAAACATTTTATATTTATTAATGACATTTTCCACTTGCACGACTAATTCTATTATTAATGTAGAATCTTTTCAAATCTTTTATGTTGAAACTCATGCTTGAAAAGAATTCTATAATGATCTTTCTTTGTCTGTTGCGGAAATAATAAGGTTAATTGATATCAGTGAGAAATCTTTCGTAGTATATTCTCATTTCTAATGAGGATAATTTTCAAGTTCTTCAGTCACTCAGAAAAAAAATTTTCTTTTTGTTCTTCGTTATTTTTATATAGGTATATTATGATTTAACTAATCGTGGAAGCTCTTGACATGTCACATTAAAAACTCAATTTTGTCAATTCTTTCAAATCGCATTTATTTATTTATATGACAGAGAAAACAAGTCATCAAATAAAACACAAAGTTAATTAGGTAGAATTCGAAGATCTAAATTATCGTTCTTTTAAGCATTATTCAGACGTCAAGTTTCGATAGATCATTGTCAACAGTTAATGATTTTGCATTGATGTTGACAGCTTATTTTTTCTGAGCTATATAATAAATGTGTTCCTTGATCCATTCACATGCAAAACTTCAATAACCAAGTGTCAATAATTGATCAGCTGTTTCATGATGCTCTACTTTGCCTACTGTTGGTACCAACATTTAACAAACGTAGATGGTTTTTTGACTGGCAAAGAATCTATCAATCAGTTGAATTCCGGATGAAGATTTTGAAAACCAGATTCAAAAGTCAGTGTCCAATAAATTTTCGCTTGTAATATGATGAGTCACTAGGAAAATGCCTTCTCTTTCAATCTACACAAACCTCAATTTCACAGCTGCTTCCGTTCAAGATTTAGAAGGGCTTTTTTTTAGAGATTCTAGATTCCAGTAATCCAACTTTAGAAGAGCTTTACAGAGGAATTATTTATCCTACTGAATTGAATGATAACATTTATTTGCAATTTCAAAACGACCCAAGACCTCTATTATAAGATTACCAAAACTTCGATTCTATGCTATACAGAGAAAACTTTTGAAATTTCAAAAATATTGAAATCATGGCCTCAGAGTACTTTGAAAGTCAAAATAAACATCACTATTGGAAGCACTGGGATAAATAGCACTTGCCTGAAGCTATTTTAGAGTCTTCCAAGATCAAAGTGCTGAAGTATGAAGTGTTAGGAAAACTCTTGTAGTTTTTGAATTAAAGTATTTGAAAAATTTTACTGTATATAGATCAAAAGACCTACTAACTGACCATATCAGAAGTTAAAACCCAGTGGAAATTGACTTCAGATTCTGGGTTTTAATACCATCGCCAAGTAGTCACTTGATTGATAAATTCCTTGTCAATGAGATTTCGATTTACAAATCCACGTTCATTACATTTTGATACCGAAGGTAATAGCACTTAAATTAGTTTCTTAATTTCATTTCAATCATCATTCGAGATATAGATATTTTATTCATATTATTCAATATAAAATTAAATAAATAAGAAATAATGCTTGTACGAAAACATTGTTTATACAAACTTATTTTTTTATTCGTTCTGTCTTTTTTTTTCAAAAAATATGTCAGATGATGAAAAACAAGGCATATTACACACAATATTAAAATAGCAGATGTTTCAATAAGAGTCGCTTCGCAAGAAAGCAACTAAAATTTCTCATAACATTTGTTACCATTCTCGACAATACGTGTTTTATTATTCTATTATCGAAATCTTAAAATAATTAATTCAATATTTCGATCAAAAACATTTGAAGAAGCTATTTTTTGTAATAAAATATAAAATTGTGAGATGTTAAATTTTTAGTGAAATTGCAACTGATCAAAATCAGTATGATGTCTGTCAGGTTGCAAATTTTAATTGTAAAAAATCTCAGATGAATTCTTAAAAAATCTAAAAACTACAATTGATTGTCTTTTACCTTTTCATTAAAAATTTCATCTTAAAAACTAAGCGAACAACATGAATACAGAAAGAAAAAAAAACAGATTGTCTCAAAAAAAATAAAATCAGAAGAATCAATAGAAATTTTTTCTGCATGAAACAAAAACAAACAGAAAATACAATGACTATTGGTGTGCGTGCATAATTATATGAAAAAAAAAATTGAAAAGGAAAAATTAAAGGATCACAGTTATATGAAGAAAAAAGAAACATGAACACATATTTTTATTGGAATTACTTTGGAGATAATAATCGTGCTTTTTCAACTTCTTCTTCTAATATTTTTTGTTCTTTGCCTTTTTGAAATGTTCGACGGAACCAATTTTGAAAAGTTTTGGTTATATGTTTATAACCAAGACCATCTGGTGCACCACCTTTTCGTGCATCACTAACAGCCCATAATTCATCGGCATGACGACGTTCAATTGCTTGAACGACACATCCACCACGAAAACTTGAAATTGTATGACCTTTTGATAAAAGACCATGTACCACATTCTATATACAAAAACAAAAAGATTAACAACGAAAAACCAAAAATAATAAGATTTAATTATACCACAGGAAAGCGTTTTTCTAATTCAATTTCCATTGGAATAAGTTGTTGATGTAAACGAGGCATATCAACAGCATCACGAATACTTTTACCAAGCCACAAATTATAAATAGCTACTTGAGCAACAGATGATATAATTCGACTACCACCTGAACCACCACCAATAAAAATAACTTCACCACTTGAATCAGTCACAATAATTGGACTCATTGATGACATTGGACGTTTAACTAAAAAGGTATTTATTTATTTATTTCGAAAATATATATTTTGTTTTTCTTACAAGGTTTTATAAAATTAGCTGGACTTGGAGCATAACCATAGTAATTAGATAAACCTGGTTGAGAAAAATCATCCATTTGATTGTTATATATAATACCTTGAAAACAGATAATATTAAAAAAAAATAAGAAATTTTTAGATGAATATTTACCGGTATTACGTCCATAAACGAAGGCTCCAAAACTAGAATAATATGATTTAATTTATATTTTAAATAAATAATCAACATACTCAGTATTTATTGTACTTGTTACAGCAACTGCGTTACCCAATGAATCAATAATAGAACAATGACTGGTACCATGATCTTGAAAGAAAATTATTTAACACAAATATTCGTTTCTTCTCTTTATACATACCTGTTTGAGGTTCAAATCTAGGTTCATAATATTCCAATGGCTGTGTTTTATGTTCATTGATCCGATCACGAATTTCTTCTGCATATTCCGGCGATAAAATAAGTTTTAGTAACTAAATAAAATATTCATACAAAATAAGTTAATAGTGTTTTTAATTCGGATTTTTTATTGTTTTGGAAGGGAAATTTTGAAACTGCAAGAAAGAGAGAGAGTGGAAAACTATTTTCGAAGAAGACTAAACGTAAATAAATAATCTATGAAGGTATTGATTAAACTAAAAGGAAAAATGTTGATATATGTTAGATAAAACGCAGAAAAGTTGCCGTAGAAATATTCCTTTAGGAATTTGGCAATATTTATTTCATACAAAAAAAAGAAATATAGATCTGTCGCTAACGAAGAAAATAAGATTAAGTATTACAAGAAAAATTCATAGATCTGTAGCATAGAAAATACTTTATGTTTTTATAATTATTTCTTTTGCTTTTTATTCTAGTGATCAACGACATAGTATTTAGAGAAAACTAATGAAGTGAAAATATTGAAAATAGTCAATATCCATATTTTAGAAAAAAAAAAACAAAATTATAAAAAACATTTAGATTCTTGGGTTGTTCATGCTATCTATCTCGTCGCCATCCTAGTACGTAATTGATCTCTATTAGAGAAGATTATAACCTTAGTGAAAAAGAGGATTGATAGATAAGAGAAAGCGGATGAAAAATTAATATTGTTTCTTGACAATATCTGAAGTTTTTCCTCGTCGGCATGTTATTTTTCATAATTTATATTTCAACGTTTTTTCCATCATTTTTTTACGATGGTTTTTCTGATAATTTTTTCATACAATTTCTTTTCGCTGAGCTAAATCGTCATCATTTTGTGCAGCTCAATAACAGTAAACTTCAGAGGGTAAATTTCATTCTCAGTAGATTGTTTTCCACATTCAAATTAAAAAGTGCTGGTTCATCTTCATACCTGTTCAATATCTTGATTTTTTTCAGTTTGAGAATCATATTCATCTCCCATAGCTGATCGTTTTGCATATGCAAATTTAAATAATTCATTAAGAATATGATAAAATCTCACTTGTTTTTCATCACTATCTAATGAATATGGTGATAAACCATAACCTAAAATAACAATAGAAAGCTTTTTCATCTCTGCAATATATTTTTGTTTTGTCTATTTCTTCACTCACCATCCATTACTTTAAGAATAAGAAGAGTTATAGCTGAACTAGCTGGCGGCGGAACACCATAAGCTGTGTAATCGCTGCCTAGCGTTACTTGAATAGCCGGTTTAACTCTAGCATGATAAGTTTCTAAATCGAATCGGTTAATAATTCCTCCTTGTTCTTGAATTTCTTCACAAATTAAATCTGATAATTCGCCTTCATAAAAAGCACTTGGTCCATGTTCAGCAACAATTGAAAGTGTTTTTCCAAGACGTGGTCTATAAATAGTATCACCTAAACCATAAACATGATCTGAATCACCTTTAAAAAACACTCGTCTAAAATAAAAACAAAAATTTAAATTTTTTCTTATTCATTTTTATTTTAAAATAATCACCTAAATGATCTTTGTTTCCATAAATTATCTTTACATTTAAGTATAGTAAAAGCAAGTGCTTTTCGTATTTCAAAACCTTCATTACACATTTCAATAGCTGGTTTAAATAGAACTGCCCATGGTAATTTTCCGTGAAGTTTATGAGCTTTCCAAAAGCCAGCTATTTCTCCTGGAATACCAATAGCTAAACCACCTAAAAAAAGAGGAAAACCAATTAAAATTTAATTTGCTTATTTTTTTTTGTTTTTGTTTGTCTAATAAAAATATTTACCATGTGTTGATGATGGTGGTGGATTTCCTTCAATAAACATTCTATGATGAGCTTGTGATGGTGCTGCTTCACGTGCATCAACGGCTATACATTCCTTACGTTGACTAGAATACAAAAACAAAATAAAAAAAATACTAATTTTTTTTATATTCATTTATTTACGAATCATAGATATTCATCAGAAATCCACCACCAATTCCAGTTGAATGACAATTGTGTACACCAACACAAAGAAGAACAGCAATAGCAGCATCAACTGCAGAACCACCTAAATTTAAAATGCGTCTAAAAGATTAAAATAATTAAATTAATTCATATAAAATTTTGTTTCTTTTTTTATTTTACCTGCCAACTTTTGATGCTTCTTCAGAGTCTGCAGCAACAGCTCCATGTTTACATCTCATAAATGATGATTCACCTTCAAAACCATAATTTTCTACACCAGGTAAATCAATTTGAAATTCTAAAAAAATAAATATATCAAATTATTTTTCATATTAATGAAAGATTTCTTACTTGGGAGTACAATGTCAGAAGCATAAGTCGGTGATGATAATGAAAATAAACGGGAATGTGTATTATAAGCGCCAATCTATATGAGTAGAAATAAAAAAAAACATCAAATTATTTCTATCCAAAGAAAAGTATACGATATCTATATTTACTTTGCTAATGAATCGTCTTGTTGCCATTGAAAGAGGATATTTACTAGATAGTACTATATTAGACATGATAAATCATATAATTCTATATTCTAAAAAATAATTAATAAAGATCTTTTTTTTCTGATCGTTCGATATGAGCGAATGAATAGTATGGGAAAAGTGTTTTCGAAAGAACTTTATTATATTACTTTCCTTCTTATATTAGAAACTTTTATGCATAACATTTTGTACTTTTTTTCTTCTACGCTCACATTCATCAGACTTTGCTTCGACGTTTACGATTATCGTTCCAAAGGCAATAGCGTTGTTTGTTTTGACACGTTGTGAATGAAGGCTGATTTTCTCTCATATTCTATATTTTCTCGTTTTTGCCTTTTCTTCTCACAGTAGTCAGCATGTTTGCTCTTTCTCTCACCATCTTTCGTTCCCTCTCTCTCTTCTATAGCTAACTTCAACAACAACAGTTTACTTGTTATTACTCTTTTTTTTTGGTGATCGCTAAAAATAAGAGCAAAATGTACAAGGCAAAAAAAAAGAGAAAGATTGTATTCTATTTTAACATTGTTTGTCTTTCAAGTATGACGTCGATTAAAGTAAACAATAATAATAAAATCACTTTGGTCACGACCTGTACATATAACCTACTTTCAACGTTGAAATGTCCTTGAAAATGCATTATGAAAAAAAAAAAAGAAAAGAAACCACAGGTTGTTGCTTAATTAAAAAATGAAATAAACTAGAATATCTAATATTTTATTATTTCAAATACAACAAAAAAAAATGACTTGCTACAATTATTCTAATAATTGAACGCTATAAAAAAATAAATATAATGCTTTAAACTTATGAAAGAAGTTACTATAATATGAATTAATTATGAGAAATGCCACTTTCATATATATATATATAGATCGCTATATATATTCGCTTGTCAGTTATAAATAATCCTTACGGTGATAGATAATGAAACTTTTTTCTTCGTTCTTTTCTCTTTTCTTACTTATTCAACAACAGGAAGCAAGAGACCTAATAGAACTAAAAAGCAATATGTGCGGATGTAAACCCGTCCAAAGATGATCGACGTTTCATAAACATGCTATGACAGTAATCAAATTCTCTCCTAATTAGAAAAGAACTACTTTATTCAACAAAAAAAAATGATTATAAAAATAACAATGGATACAATAAGAAGTTCTTTGCCTTCTTTTTTTATATTAAGATCTATGCAATTCTTTTTTTTTTTCTCGCGATCATTCTTTAACTCAATTAATAAATGATTTATACATTCTAACTAACATTCCTTTAAGAACTATGATCTATATTGATTTCATAATTTTGAATGAAATTCATCAATCACAAAATAAACATAATAGAATTCTAAGAAACGTTTTTGACAATAATAAGAACAAACAAAAAAAAAATGAACTTTTTCTTGTATGTAATTATTCATCGTGAAGCCATCCATTAATAATAATATATTTAAAGAATATTATTATTTTGAATTATTAAAACAATGAATAGCAAAACTAATATTGTTGGCATTGTTAATCAATTATCATATTATAACATGATCAAAACCATAATAATATTTTTATAAGAACTTTTGTCGTTATTGAATATCTATGTGCAGTGATCACTGTTTTGTTTCACTTGATTGATTTTTTGTTTTGTTATTTCTTATCAAAGAGAAAAAATTTTTGTCGTCGAAAAATGTCTCAGTTCAAAATCTTAGAAAATCAAATCAACATGAATAAATATTATGAGCAAATATAGTCATGTCATAAGGAGATTGTGTTTATCTGATGAAATCGACTTACACAGAGCATTCGATTAGAATGCATAGGCACCTATTATTAAATGTTTCTGATATCATTATCGCAAGAATATATTTTTAACAAGTAAAAACAGATATCTTTAATTAAATCATAAGAATTTTGCTCATCTATAGAAATGATCAACGATGTTTTGTGAACTGAAGACATAAATATAGTTCTATGACGAATAAGCCAAAACTTCCGCATTAATCTATCTCTCGTCCCTGTACTCCATACCTATAGATTATATTCTTCATTCTTTTTTTTTGTAGAACTCACATATATTTTCGAAGAAAATAGTGAGTGTAAGTCTTAACGTCAAGGTTTCGCGGCTCCCCCTCCTCCTCCTCCCTTACAGACCATAGCAACGTACGCCCCCATTACAGGCAGGCCCCACCATTACAGATATCCTCCATTACAGACACCCCCATTACAGATCATAGCAACTTCACAAAAAATTCTATTCGAGTATATAAATAAAAAAAGACAGCATTTGCTGACAATCGATTATGATTAGAAAAGAATTATCGTCTTTGAGAGAATTTAAACATTATCTATTTTGTCATTAGTATAATGAAACTAAAGAAGATATGTGAGTTCCATATTTCAATTCCAAAGGGGCTGCGCTAACAAGCTTCTTCATCTAGCAACAGCATTAATTAATACACATTAATGTTACTTTTTACATCTTTTCTTTATGTTGTTTTGAGAAACGATTCTAATTAATAAATCATGTATTGATCTGACATTTTTGCAAAAGCCTTTGCACAAATGTCAAACTCTGTTAGATCATATTGCCAATGTCTAAACCAATGAAATCTTCTTCTTATTGGAAAGAGCAATATGTAAGCTATAAATTTTGCACTAGACATATATGTTTCCAGAACGGATTTGAGAAGAAGGAAAAGCCCAAAACCAAACACCATCCTTGTTTCTTTAATCAAAAAAGTTTGAAACACAAGTTTTTGCAAAATTGAGTCTTACTTACTCGAAATATATCGAATTGTAGAATTTTAATAGAAAAAAAATAATTTAAAAAATATATTTTATGGTTGTAAAATAGTTAAGTAGCAAGAACGACCAAGTTATTCAGTCGCATCCAGAAAAAAACTATTGATTGATATAAAAATCAAGAATAAATTTCACTTTCAATATACCAATGGAAAGAGTACTCTTTGTGCTAAAAAATCCTCATTAAATTGGCTTTCTTGTTTCTTTTCCAATACAAAAAAAAACTAACAGAAAATAAGACTGTATGATGTGAAGTTGCAAAAATTTTTTTTATAAGTGTTTGATTTCCAGTTTACCTGTGTCGCCACTTTTTAACAATTGCGCCGCAGTTACGCGTGGCTGCGTCGTAATTACGGGTCACAGTGCGATCGCAGTTACGCATAACTGCGTCGTAGTTTGATCGCAGTCAAACATATGGGTAGACATTGGTATGATCTAACAGCGGTTCACATTTGTGCAAAGACTTTTGCACCGCATATAAGTCAAAGATATCAATACAGCTTATTCACGAAAATTAATCAAGTTCTAAACATATGCATAGATCATGAAATAAGCAACTGATAAAATATTTACTGAATAATAACAAATTAATTCTAAACATATAATGAAGGCAAGAAAAACATGTAGAGAATTGGAAATGTTTTTTGATCAAATCGTAGTTGACAAGATTGTTTGATTACGACTTATGGAAATTTAAAATATGATAATATGAAAGAATTTATTCGAAAGAACACTAAATAGTTGTTCTTTTTCTACATGAAATGTGAACCTATTAAGGTTAGCATTGAATGTGAATGATCTTCGAATTATAAACATCTTTTAAATTTAAAAAAATGTTTACTTTTCGAAAAATTTATTTCTATTTTTGAAAAAGTGAGATAATATTATCTACGGCTACAGGAAATGATTGATGATCTTATCATGGAAGATTTATAGAAATATGCAACTTTCAAGCTTCTATTTCTTCATTGCTGAATTACTAGGAAATAGGTTTGTTGTTGTTCATCCTTGAAAAAAAGATTCTGACTTTGAATAGATCAAGAACAAAGAAAGAAATATTGCAGAATTTATTGAGCTATTAAAAAATAGATGATAGAATATAATTTTTCTTTAGTTTTCTCAAGTGGAAAATAGTGTTATTCAACTTTAAATATTTCTATGTCATAATTCATCCTTTTCTCTGTTCTGTACGTCGACATTCTACTCTATAATTTTGTAAAACATGACCTGAAGAAGTATTGAAGAATATGAGACAGAAATAACGTAGGCGCATAACAGGTCGAAGCCGTCTATCAATACTTTCCTTGACTAACTCTGTTGAATCATATAGAGCCATCAGTGAAATAGCTCATTTTTGGCCAATTTTTTAACAAACGATCTATTATGATGGATTTAACTTCAGTCTTAATAGATAAGACAATACAACAGTGAAATTATGAATTCCATAGCTCTTTAGTGAGGTTTTAATATCATATATAAACCATCAACTGATTGTTTAATTCCAAGAAATATAGATCCGATATATTGATAGACACTTGTAGTATAGTGACCATTTGATAGCCTTCCTAAAAATCTACAAAATCATCTATTTTCTAAAGTTAAAACAATATGATCACTTAAGAAGCTTCTAAGCATACTATTCTTCAGACGCATGTTTGTATGTTTTTAATCAATATTTAGAAGATTTCGGTAAGAAAAAGTTCAATATCAGTGAATACTAATATGATATTCGAAACCAACATGAAAAGCTGAGTTGATCTATGCATAATTTAAAAAGCTCCTCTTTTTCATTAGAAAAAGTTTTCCCTGACTATCCTTAGGTTTCAAATGAAGAATGAAGTGTATTGAATCACTGTTTAAACATTATAAAAATCTTCGAAAACTGTTTAAAGTTATAAGGTGGCATAATAGCAAATGTTGAGTAAATAACATCAGGATTATCATGATTTTCATTTTTCGTTTGGTTTCTGAGAAACATCAAGGGAAAGTTTTTCGACGAAAGTAGACCAACTCCTTGTTTTATGCTGATTTCGAATATTATATTAGTTTTTATTCAAAATGAATTTTTTTATAACGGAAATCTTCGAAATATTGACTAAAAAGACACTTTCTTATCGCATTTCTGAAGGATTAATTAAAAGGATGGTGAAGAAATGTGTTCCAACATCGATAGAATAAAACTACCTCCCTGTGATTAGCAACAGTAGATACATCATGTTCACATTTTAATCCTGCAGAGATTATGCTAACAGCTTTTTTCATTAAAAATCCTGACATCACTATCAGTACAAAGTACACTGTCTTCTACTTTAATTAGATTCTATGAATTTATTTTTCGTTAATTCAATTTAGAAAAAATATTTTTAATTAAAAGATTTTCAGCAAATCACTGTCGTCTTTTAGAATAGGAGTCAATTGTAACAGTTCGTGGTTTATATTTGACCATGATATGAATACATAATAAATATCTTTTATTACATACGAAAAATAGAAAAGAACACAATATTTTACAACTGAAAGAAAATCAAAATCTTCACTTGAATTTGAAACCAAAAAACTTGAATAATTAATATAGACTACATTCATCAATCTTCATAACGCTTCTATTCGATGACTGTTTCATTGAACTTGTATTGAAAAAATTTTATTTTCTATCCATAATATACTATATAGAATAATTGCATACGAATAAATCTAACCTCAAATAATTTAGTTCATGCTGATATGCAAATAAATAATTTGGTGTTGAATTATTTGATTGGTTGGGAAAAAAAAGCATAATATTTATTGACATGGGAAGTTAAAATTATCATTCTTTCATTATTAAACAATATAATAAATACTATTAACGAGAATAATAGAATTATTAATTAATGCAATATAATATTCATTATTTGAAAAATCTATAACCTCAAATTACAGATTCTATGCAGAAGTTTTATTAACGATTGTTAGATTGTTGTAATTTAATCGAATGAGTTTCAATCATACTATATTGATTGTGAATAAATAACTAGGATTATTTGTACTAATTCGTCCAGTATTGTATTTATTTATATGATTTTGAGTACTATTTTTAAGTTTTTGGAGTTGATTGTAGACTTTGATGTGTAAATAAGGCAAAACTAAAGTAATATTTTCTTTCTTTTTTTTTGTTTTTTTTTCATAATCAAGACGATCGAAAATCTTTTGAAAAAAATGAAAATAGACACATACTTATTCAATTTATCGAGCTCAATCTTTATATGAATGAAAAAACAAGAAAATGTTCTTTAATTTTGCATTGTTCGTTCCTTAAGTCGTCGAATATGAGTAAAATAAACAGCTTGTTTTATTTAAACAGCAATTTAGAACAACATAGGCGACAATTGGCATGTCTTTTTATGAGTTTCATTACGATCGATTTGTGATCCAGTTGAGATTACAGTGCGACATATTGTGACACATAGTTGCAAAAAAATAGTAGCGTTATAGCACCGCAAATCAATTGTAATTGAAGGAAATTGTAACACAGTCACATGTAGCTATAGCGGAAGAATCGTAGTTATACATAGTTATGCTGCTATTGTTCAAAATTATGGATCATAGTGTGATTGTAGTATGACCGTAACTACGCTAGATTTGATTAAAATCAAGTACATGGGTAAAAATTGATTTCATGAATAATTCAGGATAGTTGTGTTACTCAATTTAGAGCAAAGAGTAATCACAGCATTATCAATGTGTGAAACTTTAATAAAATATATAAGAAAGATTGAAAGAAACAAAATTCAACTTTGAGCTTAGGTTTACTTTTGCTCATAGAAATGCATGAATTGCAAGTTCAATCGATTGCAATTCTTCGACGAGAACGTATTGTTTCCAGTTATTACACAAAACTAACAAGATGATCTATTTCAGTTTTACTATACCGTTCTGAGAAGAGTTGTGTATTGCCTTCACACAGTCGGATACTTTTTTCTGAAAGTGTACATGATGAAGTTTCTTCAAAAAGTAGACATTTTAAGTATTAAAATAGATCTGTAGCTGTGCTATTAAATTCGATTGATAAAGAACTCTTACTAGAACAAGGCAATAGTATTAACTTTCGAAGATCTTGACTGCTGAAAGAATATCCTATTAAATGTTTGCACCAGTCAAAAAGCTTTTTTTGGACATAGATCTATTCTTGAATAATATGTTATACAGTGTCACGCTTCTTATTGTCCTGCTTATTTGGTAATTGATTATGACACGTTCGATTTGTATAAATTACAAAATTTTTTTCTGATGCACTTTAATTTCAGATATACAAAGGCTATTTATGTATTTCAGCTTTCCACTCAGACTGTTCTTGATCTCTATCTAAATAAACTACCTTTTTTGTTTCTCTCTCTTCTTGTTTTCATTAGGTTTTCTACTGTCTTTCCATTTGTCTTTAAGTATTGTTAAAACCTGAATGCCATCAGTGATCGCAAAAAATTTTAAAAAAAGTACATAGTATATTGTTGAATATTCATAAAAAAAAACATTTGTATTTTATTTGTTAAAGAGTATTTCAATCGATAGAAATAAATAGAACTTATCTCGCCGTTCTCAAGCATTTTATTGATATTAAAAAACTAATAATAAACATTGTTACAATTAAAATAAAATGAAATATACAGGGTGGCGCAAAAGTCACTTTACCGAAAAAAAAATTGAAAATCTCCATTACAGTTCTAGGAATCGAACTGATTTTTTTATTAATGATAGAGTCATGTCTAAACTTTATATCCGTAAAGATATGCCTAGAGAAACTCTTTGTTAAGTATCACTATTCAGCTCAACAAAAAATTTTACTTTTTCGCGGATAGGAAAAAAAACAATATACAATATGATGTAAAAGCCATTGTACCGAAAAAAATTGAATATTTTCATTATAGTTCAAGCAAAAGAGCTGATTTTTTTATCAATCATAGAGGCATGTTCAAGTCCTATACTCATAAAGACATGCCAAGAGAGACCCTTTGTTAAACATACTGGTTTTTTTCTATCTGTGAAAAATTAAAATTTTTTGTTGAGCTCAATAGTGATACTTAACGAAGAGTCTCTCTAGGCATATTCTTTATGGATATAAAGCTTAGACATGACTCTATCATTAATAAAAAAATCAGCTCGTTTGCTAGAAGCGTAATGGAGATCTTCAATTTTTTTTCGGTAAAGTGACTTTTGCGCCACTCTGTATATCGACAATGGTAATTTGAAAATCCGCACCTTATACAAAAGTACAGAACTATTGCAGAAAGAAATTAATTAACGAAACTAGATTGATGACACGAATAAGTTGAGAAGAATTCTAGTAAAAACAGTGATACTCAAATTTTTGAGATTAGTTTTTTATTTTATTTTCGCTAATAAGTTTTTAATGAATTTTAAGACATCAAAAGTACAATCCATGAATAAAAAACAACGAATCATTATTTTTTTATCATTGATGGAATGTTTTTTTTTGTAGACGAGAAAAGCAAATTGGTTGTCTCGTGTTCGTTTACGTATATTTTCTTCTTCTTCATATATATTTTAGTCTTTAAAATTAGTAACAAAAGTCAATGCGTTTTACTATTCTCTCTCACTGATGATTCATTTGATGCACTGTCATTGTTTCATCTCAAGACGGTCGTAACCAACTTGAAAATAATGGTTTATACCATGTATAAGATTTGGAAGACTATATAAGCAGAAAGAAGGACTAGCACTTCCATAATAATGAAATCAGCGAATACAATACTATCAATTATGACTTTGAAAAGAAGACTGTGTTCGAAAAACACAAGATAAAACACTTGTGGATATACAGAATATTGATTAATAACATTGAATAATCGTGAATAACAAACGAGGGAAACATTGTCAACTGATCAATCGCTTTCTCACCAAAAACTATTGGATTATGAGTTAATGACTAATCTGATTTCGAATATGATCATAAGAAATCTTAGGTCTTCTTGTATAAGTTTTCTAAGAAACCGATTTTCTAGACTAACAAGCTTGTCACCAAAATTGTTTTAGGTCTACTCACATTATAGAACATATTCAGTTCTTTATGAGAAAATAATCTTTTCTGTTTTTCCAAAAATGAGTTTTACACAAAATAATATCTTCTTGGAACTTTTCTCAGTAAAACGTTGATGTGTATCTGTTATATGAATTAAAATGGCTGTAAATTTCTTAAAAATAACTGATTTGAAACAGACTAAGTTACTTTTTTTTTGTAGATAATTCGATATACTTTATAATTTGAACAAAGAAATGAAAAATTTGGCCGTAAGTTTGGTACTCTACAAAACCGGTCTTCTACGAAACTAAAATATATAGACCTAATAGTGTTTCTTATAGGAATATATGAGTTCAGCACGGTCGATAACGTTTATTCACTAGCATTCGTTTAAAAAGCAATTCATATGTTGAAAACATTTTCTTCTAAGTCGAGTTTTCGATTGATTGACTACTCAGATTTTGTTTTTTATTAGTCTACTTAGTATAAATTGATTTGAAATGCCTTTTGAATATTAAATAGGAATTTCTCAACTATATTAAAAATATATTTATTTATCGAAAATACAAAACAAAAAAGAATTTCAATTTAAGTAAAATTCAAATACAAACCAAATATTATTAGATACAATTAATATCAATCAGTTAGAAAAATTTCCATATAAAATTATTCATCAACATCGTTTATAATGTTTCATTTATATAAAAAATAGTCCGAAACAAAAATAATTTTGTAAAACTTCTATGTTCAAAACCTTTGAATTATGATCTGTGCTGGATCGATTTCGTTAACAAAACTTGGCCGTTGTGCAGCCATTTGACGAATATAAAAAGCTGCTCCTCGTTGAGTATTATGTTGATTATCATTATCAACATCATTTATTGCCTGAAGATCCTCAAAACATAATTGTTTAAGAAAGGTTTTTCTAAAAAACACAATAGCTGGATTTCGAACAAGAAAAACTGCTAATCTCCATTTTCGAATATATTTTGATGTTTTTTTCACTTCAACTGCACATTTTTCTTCAAGTGGAAAATCATCTAAATCGATATGAGTCATTGAATATTGTTGTTTTCGAAGCTCACTAAATAAATGTGAAACAAATACTAGCATAATTGGATGTCGATGAGTACATTCTGTATGAATAAACCCACAATATGCACTAAAACCACTATCGAATGTTTCTAATTTTCGTCCTAATGGTGAATAATCTAATCGACACATATAAAATGTTGCACCAATAATACTTTTAACGAAACGTAATATTGATGAAATAAAACCAAGAAAAGCATCTAAGAAGAAATTAAAATAAATAAATATCATAAAAAACCGACGATTATCCAATGCTAAGACATCTCCATAATGTTGTAAGAAAACATATTGTGCAAGAAGCTTGTTGAGAAATACTTTAAAAGTAACAAGTAAAAGACTTGGTAGAATGAATTTTAAAATTTTTTCTAACACTTTAACATTTCCAAATGTAATAAATGCACCAATAGAAATACAAAATATTGTCGAAAAAAATGCTATTATAATAAAACCCCATATTAAATAACCAATAAAATATCCAGCAAAATGAAAATTTCCGGTAGCATATGTAACATATTGTGACCTCTGTCTTCGTGGTATTTCACTATCATCACCACGATATACCTGTAATAAATTTCGACGTATATTAGCTAGAAATACTATTAACTGTATAACAATAATTGTTACTGTCATAGTTACAGCACAATAGTATGATTTAACTAAATTTGGTAGTGGAAATGTCAATGAAACCGGATCTTGATTATCACCATTATTAGAGAATAAATTGATTATTGAATCAATTAGATTAATGATAGATTCCACAAGAATTTGCAGATTTGGTTGCATAGTATTTAATATAGGTAAAATGCCTACACAAGCGTCAACAGTAACAAAGAAAAGTAAAAAGAATATAGATGAATAAAGACATAAAACACGTGTTGAAAATTGAAAATCATCTCTCCATTCATAAATAAATTTTGGTATTAAACGAGCAAATAATATTTCACTTCTAGGTCTTTCATTAGCTGAACGAAATAAGTTTCGTACATAAAGCATTTCAGGCGATTCTGGATGAGATATACATAATAAAAGTTTTTCTTCTCGTGTTAATGACATTAACATTTTATTTTCTTCTGTTAAATGTTTTTTTCGTTGATTATATATTTTTTCTATTAACATTGCTGGTAATTTAACACTTACATAAGCTAAACATAGATATCTTGGAATATCACTACATAATTCAATAGCAATCAATGCTGAACCAGTACCATAATAATCTAACTTATCACTAATATCAGTTGTATTTGTCTCATATTCATCATACGTTGGATAATACGTTGGATAACACATACCTTGAGTAACAATTGTAAATGAATAATCAAGCCATGCATATATTGTTGCACATACTAATGTAACTATCGAATTGATATAAACACAAGCCAATATAGGATAAAACCGAAAGCCCATTATTAATACTTGAAATATACGTAAAAGAAATTTAACAAGAATGCCTTCATTTAAACCTGATGACGCGCCAAGTTGTTGTACTATTCCAAACAATTCATCGGCTATAATGGCAAAAATAACAGCAGCAAATTTTCGATCTAAATGTGAAAGAAAATCAAGTGGCACTGGTGGTGCTCCATATCCATAGCATTTATTTCTCATAAATGAGATTCGTTTAGTCGTTATCATACATATGATGACAACTAGACAAGCAACAGGAAATGTCACTACATTGAATTGTTGAATATCAAGTATATCACAAAAAGATTTTCTGTTGAAATAGATTGGTTCTTTATTTTTATATTTATTAACTATTTCAGCATGAATCTCTTTTAGAATTGACCATTTAGCAAGAAGAGTGCCAATAGCAACAATAATCATCAAAATAGCGATAAAACTTGATGATATTGGAGTTGATTTTTTTACATGTTCAATTGCTACATTTATAAGTTTCGAATCTTTTGATATTTCTCTAAATTTAAAATTATATATTGAAAAATAGTTCAATATTTATTTACTTGTTCGTATTTGCTTTTGGTTGTCTGTATTTCTTATAAATAGTTCGAATGATTTGTAAACTGTAGAAAATGATAATAAGTGTTCCCGTCAAGCAACCAAGTATAATTACTTGTTTTCCACTATCTGACTCTGAAAAAAACATTCTTATATTCTTTTAATTGATGTAAAAATTGAAGAAAGACATACGTTGATTACATAATTCTCCTTCCCACCAAAATTTACATTCACATGACGTTGTGTTTCCTTTCATATAACAATATCCATATCGTCCACATTTATTTTCGGAAGGACAAGCTGAATGAAGTTCGATTTTAAAAAAAGTGGAAATTCTTAAATTTGACTACTTACTCTTTTCTCCATTAATCATAATGAAAAATAAGAAAATAAGTAGAATTTTGGAAATCATTATCATTACTTAACTGACATGTATTTCAATAAACGTGTTTCTCTTACAGTTTTTATTAATATATGTTTAAAAAATGTTACACATGACTGATTTAGCTTGTTTTTGCCTACGTATAACCTGTGTTTCTTATCGATTTTCTATATCTTTGTCGTTTCGGATTTTCAAAGTGAAACAAAATTGTTTCTTATGATTCTTTGTTATTATTCATATTTTCATGTTTCACTGTGACTTTTCATGTGCGTCATAGAAATTGTGCTATAATGAAAAATACTCCATACATTAACGCACCTTGACTTGCCATAAAAAACGATATATATTTAATGGAGCATGATTAGCGTAAAAAAAATATACAAGTGTCCGAAAATTTACCTATGAAAAAGAAAATAATACGTTTCTTTTAGGGTTTTAGACTTCTGAAAAGTGACACTTTTAGACTCAATTTGGAAAAAACTCCCTTTTTCGAGTTTTGGGAAACAATATATGGTTTTTTTGTAATTTTTGCAAACTTTATTTTCACATTTGTTAGAGAGCACTCTAACATACATCTTTATTTCTTATTCTTCTCTTCAACTTGTGTGTGCCCCATCATTCGTATATATTTTTTCACTCTACATACGTTAGTCGATGGATATTTGTTTTTCTTTCCTTTTTCTCCTCATCTTTCTCTTTCTCTCTTTCTCTTCTACTTTTCTATCCGACCGTGACAATTTCAACTAATTCTCAGTCTTTGCTTCTATTCTAAATTTAAGAGCATTTTAACGAAAGAAGATATTGGACGTCATCTTCAGTATTTAGAACAGTCTAGGCTGAAGTAGAAGAAACTTATTCATCGCTCTCTTTGTATTTTACTTGTATTTTCTCTCTTTCTATGGTGTTAATATATATATTCCCTAGACTGAAAGGCTAGGGTCTAGAAACCGAAATTCACCTGTGTCTGTCTGTCTGTCTGTCGGTCTGTCTGTCGGTAACGCGGTCAAAATGGCCATTTTTTTGGCACATGTGACCATTTTTTTGGCAGAAACGACCATTTTTTGGCACAAGTGACCATTTTTTGGCACAAACGGCCATTTTTTTACTAAAATTAACTAGGTAACTATGGTACAAATGAGCATGTAACTATGGCACAAACGGTCATTTTTTTGGTACAAACGACCACGTAACTGTGGCACAGATGACCATATAGCAACCATGGTACAAACAACTATTCCGGTAACTATGGCACAGATGACCATATAGCAAC